GTTCTCGCCTGGTCCCGGTTTTTAGCATGTCGCTCTTCCCCTGCCACTTGCTTCTGGGCGTGCAAATTTCCCTCTGGCCCCTCCATGTCCACTTCCGCTTTCACTGTCTGCTGCCCTTCTGTGTGAGGAGCTGGCGTGGGGTCCCTCTCCATACCCCACTCTCCAGCCTCCCTGTGGCTGCACCCACAGGCATGCAGAGGGACATGGGGAAAAGTCCGGTCCTTGTGCCCTGGACGCGCCCCTTTGGGATGGCAGGCGGGTGGGTCCTGGCCAAGGCCGCAGCCTCCCTGAGGTGTCTCTCCCTATGGCCTCCTGCTGTCCTGCCTGCCAGCCGTCCCCTGCTCGGTGCCCTCCTTGGCCTTCTTGCTCCCTGTCCTTCGGAGCATCCCCTCTGTCGTCAGGACCCTGATGAAGTGGGCACTGTGGTTACATTCTAAGTCATCACTTGTTACTGGGATCTTTTCCTTCCTTCCTTCCTTCCTTCCTTCCTTCCTTCCTTCCTTCCTTCCTTTCTTTTTTTGTTTTAAAGATTTTAGCTATCAGGTGTGTGTGCTTACTGGAGAGATGGAAAATAAGAAATCACCCCCTGAGGGGGATGGCCATGCTGCAATCCCTTCTCCTATCTCCTCTCAGGATTTTGAGCACGCATGCACATGCACCCGGCATAAATTTTAAGTCACGGGGTCAGGACTCCAACAGTGGTAGACTACAAGGGAGTCCCAGTGATGTAACTTACACCATCTGCTGGCCCGATTCATAACATGCTGACATCATGATCGGAATTCACCATCGGCACTGTATTGATCCTTTGGAACTTGCCAATCCTTGTGTGGCCTGACAGGTGACTGGTTTTCCACAGGTGCTAGGGAAGCCCTGGGTTTCTGCTCTTTAGCGCAGAGTTCTGTAGATCAAACACGGTTGCATTTGTGTTCACGTGTAGGCGTGTTACTGCTCTGGGTGGTGAGGACGACAGCTGGAGAGGCTGCCTCTGATAGAACCGTCACTTCCATAGGCTCAGAACTCGGGTGGGCCCAGCAGAGGGAGGAGGGGCGAGGACCTGCACCACAGTGTCCAGGGAGGAGCGGGGCAGGTCGGGGGGCTCGAGTTGGCCGGCTGGCAGCATGTAAGGGGTGCTGGCCGGGGCTGCCCCTGGCTGCTGGGTGCCAGCCCCGGGGTGATGGGCCAATGGAGAGTGGCCCGCGTGGAACCCACAGAGGGGCCGGGGCGCCCTGGACGAGCTGGTTTGCATCTGGTCACTTGCCATCGAGGAGCAGCGAGGGCCAGATGTCCAGACCCCTGAGCGAGGCGTGAAGGGCCTCGTGGATAGTATGGTTTGCCGCTTTGACCTGTCAGTTTCTGAGAAATGAGCCTGCCTCCGCCTGTAACTGCCGGCTCCTCTGTCCCTCCCTGCACTTCTCTTCCACTGCTTTCTACTCGGGATATTCTGAAGCGCTGTGGTCGGCGGGACAGGGCTCTGCTTTTATTTCACAGTTATGTTGTAACTTGTCATGCAGCCCACTTGCTCGGAGCTGCCGTGGACGGCTGTGTGGGGTCTGCGAGGACACAGGAAGGAGGCTGATGTTAGCTGGACTGCCTGCGGCCCGAGGGCCAGACCCACCCACAGCCCGGTTTCCTGCAGCCCAGGGTTAAGCATGGCTTGAAACCCAAAGGCCCAGGGACCCGAGTGGTCCAGACAGAGGCCCACGGCCCTCTCTCTGTCTGCGACAGCAGGTCGGTCGGCAGCCGGGCTGAGTGGGCCCCCACCGCCGTCGGGCCAGCGGGGGCTGGC